CGCGAAGCCACGAGAAAGTTTGTTTATCTGAGACGCAGAACTTCACCACCAGAATGTCGGCCTTTTCCACGGCCTTCCTCACCGCCGTCCACTCACTGTCCAGCAGCTCCTGTACACACAAGTACTACAAGTACTACAAGAGTACACACGAGTACTACAAGAATATACACAAGTACTACAAGAATATACACAAGTACTACAGGAGCACAAACAAGAACACACAAGAGTACAAGGCCTTCCTCACCGCCGTCCACTCACTGTCCAGCAGCTCCTGTACACACAAGTACTACAAGTACTACAAGAGTATACACAAGTACTACAAGAATATACACAAGTACTACAGGAGTACAAACAAGAACACACAAGAGTACAAGGCCTTCCTCACCGCCGTCCACTCACTGTCCAGCAGCTCCTGTACACACACAAGTACTACAAGTACTACAAGAGTACACACAAGTACTACAAGAATATACACAAGTACTACAAGAATGAATATACACAAGTACTACAAGTGTACACACAAGAGAACACACAAGAGTACAAGGCCTTCCTCACCGCCGTCCACTCACTGTCCAGCAGCTCCTGTCAAGTACACGCAAATACTACAAGTACTACAAAAGTACACACAAGTACTACAAGAGTACACACAAGTACTTCAGTAGTTCAAGTACTAGAACTAAACTCAGAAAAGTGAAACATCAAATCACTGAGACACAAAAAGACTGAACCAGAACCGAACCAGAACCAGAACCAGGACCAGGACTAAACCAGGACCAGAACTAGGACCAGGACCAGGACTAAACCAGGACCAGAACCAGGACCAGGACTAAACCTAAACCAGGACCAGACCTAAACTAGGACTAAACTCAGCCTAGACCCGAACTAAAACTGAACTAAGCCACAACTAAACCAGTTCTAAACCTGGTCTAAACTCAGTCTAATTCCGGCCTGAGGTCTAAACCCGGTCTGACCCAGGTCTGACCCAGGTCTGACCCGGGTCTTTAGCGGGTCTTTAGTGGGTCTTTATCGGGTCTTTAGTGGGTCTTTAGTGGGTCTTTAGTGGGTCTTTAGTGGGTCTTTAGTGGGTCTTTAGTGGGTCTTTAGTGGGTCTTTAGTGGGTCTTTAGTGGGTCTTTAGTGGGTCTTTAGTGGGTCTTTCGCAGGTCTTACCCAGTCGGGACAGTCTCTGACGGTGACGGTGACGTCGTTGAACACTCGGGCGTTGTACTCCATGAAGGGCGGGTGCAGGGTGCTCTCCGGCGCCCCCTCTGCCCCGGGGCCCAGGTAACTCCACAACAGCGCCCCCTGCAGCTGCCCCTGACTCATGAGCTCCTCCGACGATGCCCCCGACGCACACTCACTGCCCAGACCCACGATCTGCAACGACCTGAAGAAGAAGAAGAGACATGAGACCAAGAGACACGAGAGGACGAAGAGACACGAGAGGACGAAGAGACACGAGAGGACGAAGAGACACGAGAGACGAGAGACGAGACGAGAGAGAAGAGACACGAGAGGACCAAGAAGAGACGGAGAGAGACAGAAGGACACGAGAGAGACACGAGAGTGAGAGACACGAGAGAGACAGAGAGGACCAAGAGACAAGAGAGAAGACAAGAGACACGAGAGGACGAAGACCGAGAGACGAAGAGACACGAGAGGACCAAGAGACACGAGAGGACGAAGAGACACGAGAGGACGAAGAGACACGAGAGGACCAAGAGACACGAGAGACGAGACACGAGAGGACACGAGAGGACACGAGAGGACGAGAGAGACGACGAGAGGACCAAGAGACACGAGAGGACCAAGAGACACGAGAGGACACGAAGAGACACGAGACCAAAGGACGAGAGACACGAGAGGACAAGAGACACGAGAGACGAAGAGACACGAGAGGACGAGAGAGACCAAGAGAGAGACGAAGAGACACGAGAGGACCAAGAGACACGAGAGGACCAAGACACGACACGAGAGGACACGACAGAGAGACGAAGAGACACGAAGAGACACGAGAGGACCAAGAGACACACGAGAGGACAAGAGACACGAGAGGACGAAGAGACACGAGAGACGAAGAGACACGAGAGGACACGAGAGGACGAAGAGACACGAGAGAACAGAGAGACACGAGAGGACGAAGAGACCAAGAGACACGAGAGGACAAAGAGACACGAGAGGACCAAGAGACACGAGAGAGAACAAGAGACACGAGAGACACGAGAGAGAGACACGAGAGGACGAGACGAGAGCACGAGAAGAGACGAAGAGACACGAGAGGACCAAGAGACACGAGAGAGAGACGAAGAGACACGAGAGGACCAAGAGACACGAGAGGACACGAAGAACACGAGAGACACACGAGAGGAGAAGACCGAGAGACGACGAGAGACACGAGAGGACGAAGAGACACGAGAGGACGAAGGACACGAGAGGACCAAGAGACACGAGAGGACAAGAGACACGAGAGGACACGAGAGGACAGAGAGAGACGAGAGGACGAGAGACACGAGAGACAAGAACAAGAGACCGAGAGACACGAGAGGACGAAGAGACCGAGAGGACGAGAGACACGAGAGGACCAGAGACACGAGAACACGAGAGGACAAGAGACAAGAGACACACAGAGAGAGAGACGAAGAGACACGAGAGACGAGAGACACGAGAGGACCAAGAGAGACGAGAGGACGAAGAGACACGAGAGGACGAAGAGACACGAGAGGACCAAGAGACACGAGAGGACCAAGAGACACGAGAGGACGAAGAGACACGAGAGGACCGAGAGACGAGAGACAAGAGACGAGAGGACCAAGAGACACGAGAGGACAAGAGACACGAGAGGAGAGACACGAGAGGACCGAGAGACACGAGAGGACCAGAGACACGAGAGACACGAGAGGACGAAGAGACACGAGAGGACACGAGAGGACACGAGAGACACGAGAGAGAGAGAAGAGACACGAGAGGACCAAGAGACACGAGAGGACGAAGAGACACGAGAGGACCAAGAGACACGAGAGGACCAAGAGACACGAGAGGACGAAGAGACACGAGAGGACCAAGAGACACGAGAGGACGAAGAGACACGAGAGGACGAAGAGACACGAGAGGACCAAGAGACACGAGAGGACAAGAGACACGAGAGGACCAAGAGACACGAGAGGACCAAGAGACACGAGAGAGACCGAGAGACACGAGAGGACGAAGAGACACGAGAGGACCAAGAGAGACCAAGAGACGAGAGGACGAAGAGACACGAGAGGACGAAGAGACAAGAGACGAGAGGACCAAGAGACACGAGAGGACCGAGACACAAGGAGACACGAGAGGACGAAGAGACACGAGAGGACACGAGAGAGAAGAGAGGCGAAGAGACACGAGAGGACACGAAGACCAAGACACGAGAGGACCAAGAGACACGAGAGGACAAGAGACACGAGAGACACGAGAGGAGAGACACGAGAGAGAGGACACACGAGAGGACCAAGAGACACGAGAGGACACACGAGAGGACACGAGAGGACCGAGACACGAGAGACACGAGAGGAGAGACACAAGAGACGAGAGGACCAAGAGACACGAGAGAGACACGAGGAGACACGAGAGGACCAGAGACGAGAGACAAGAGACACGAGAGGAGAGAGAAGAGACACGAGAGGACCAAGAGACACGAGAGGACGAAGAGGACACGAGAGGACGAAGAACACGAGAGGACGAAGAGACACGAGAGACGACGAGAGACGAGAACCGAAGAGACACGAGAGACACAAGAGACACAGAGAGGACCAAGAGACACGAGAGGACGAAGAGACACGAGAGGACAGAGACACGAGAGGGACGAGAGGGACGAGAGAGACACGAGAGACGAGAGAGAAGACAAGAGGACGAAGAGACACGAGAGGACCAAGAGACACGAGAGGACAACGAGAGACCAAGAGACACGAGACAAGAGACACGAGAGAGACACAAGAGACACGAGAGGACCAAGAGACCACACGAGAGGACACAAGAGACACGAGAGACACGAGAGGACGAGACACGACGAAGGACCAAGAGACACGAGAGGACCAAGAGACACGAGAGAAGAGACACGAGAGAGACACGAGAGGACACGAGACACGAAGGAGACAAGAGACAAGAGACGAAGAGACCAAGAGACACGAGAGACGAAGAGACACGAGAGGACCGAGAGAGACACGAGAGGACAAGAGAGACACGAGAGAGGACCAAGAGACACGAGAGGACAAGAGACACGAGAGGACAAGAGACACGAGAGGACACGAAGAGACACGAGAGGACGAACACGAGGACAGAGACACGAGAGGACCGAAGGAGACACGAGAGGACAAGAGGACGAGAGACACACACGAGAGGACCAAACAAGAGGACAGACCAGACGAGAGGACCAAGAGACACGAGAGGACCAAGAGACACGAGAGGACAAGAGACCAGAGACACGAGAGGAGGACACGAGAGAACAGAGACACGAGAGGAGACAGAGAACACGAGAGACAGAGACCAAGAGACACGAGAGACCAAGAGGACGAGAGGGACCAAGAGACACGAGAGGACCAGAGACACGAGAGGACCAAGAGACGAGAGACCAAGAGGACGAAGAGACACGAGAGGGACCGAAGAGACACGAGAGGAGACACGAGAGACGAAGAGACACGAGAGGACCAAGAGACACGAGAGACCACGAGAGACAGAGGACCAAGAGAACGAGAGGACCAAGAGACACGAGAGGAGGAAGAGACACGAGACACGAGAGACACGAGAGGACGAAGAGACCGAGAGACGAAGAGACACGAGAGACGAAGAGACACGAGAGAGACGAAGGACCAGAGACACGAGAGGACCAAGAGACACGAGAGGAGGAAGAGACACGAGAGGACCAAGAGACACGAGAGGACGAAGAGACACGAGAGAGAGGAAGAGAGACGAAGGACCAAGAGGACACAGAGAGGAGAGAGAGAGACACGAGAGGACAAGAACGACACG